CCCTCTATCTCTCTCTCCCTCCCTCCTCTCTCTCTCCCCCTCTCTCCCTCCCCCTCTCTCTCTGACCCTCTCTCTCATACAGCTGCAGTTTAAGTCTGTGGTTTCATTTTTGTCGTTTCAATAATAGTTTTACGTGGTCACTTGGTACAGTTCTTGTAAAAGTGTTTGTCACTTTTAAGGTAAAAGAAGCTCCATTAGTGATGATACATCGCTATTCTTCCTGGAGTCCTTTACATAAAATACATTAACTATATATAATAAATATTATTGGTTCTAGGTTTAGATTACTGGAATGCTCCTTTTTGTGCCAGTCTAGTGTTGTACGAATGTGCCGAATTAATTGTGTTTAATCTTTGAGTAAAGAATAAACATAAGAATAAACTTTGGTGTAGGTATGACAAACCTTGTGTTCTGCATTGTCTGAGAAATATTTTATGGAAGAACTCTGTACTTCTGCCAAGACCATAATATAAGTCTTTCTATGGAAATTCCATTCCTTTCCATGAAAATAGCTGTTCATTTTTCTTTTTTTATATTGGATTTTAAAATGGTTTTATATGGATTTTTACCATGTGTGGTATGCATGCCCATATTTGGCACACATAACCTACTTACTCACAGTAGTTTCTCCTTGCTGATTAGCTGCTGGGATACTGTGATCAAACTTAGGATAATCAAACAGATACAGAGTTGTATGGAAAAATAATTTCCAAGCAAATACAGGGTAGTATGGATTGCATGGTGAATGTGGAAGAAGAATGGGTGAAATGTGCTATATTTGCTCTAGTGCAAATGTTGGACTTTCTAGTTCAATGACCAGTACCATCACGTGATGAGGCTCCTTGAACTTTAGTCTGGTGACCGGAATTTGACCCTACCGCAGCCAGACTGAAAGCCATTGTCACGGGAGTGCCATTTTTCCAGTCAAGATCTCAAGATCAAGTCTCATTCAACCTCTCCAAAACACAGGTAAATCTTAGAGAGATATGTTGGAAGTACTGTGTGCACAACATTGTGGTTACCCAGTGTTCTCACCAGGAATTTTATTCACAGTACAGAAGGGTAACTTTTGCAGCGCAAGTCAAAAAAACATGACCACAGTGGGAGGAAGGGGAGGTCTGGTAGTATCCCTGAAGAGTTTTTAAACTCATAGCCCCCTCAGACACTATTTCTTGCTTATTGAGGGACAGATTTTGTAATGTTAAGGTTTTCCCTTTGCCAAAGCTTTATTCTAAAGCTATATAATAATTATTCATTATTTGGCAATATTTATGGAGTTCTCTGTTCAAAAACACCAGATATCCTCCAAATACCCTCAGGTGGGGTCGTGTGGCACAGTCGGTAGCGCGTTTGGCTCACACCAGAGAGGTCGCGGGTTTGAATCCTGCCCATGTCACCGATCTTGTGCCCTTTGGACTTTCCTCACTTGTCGTACATGTACAAAACTCTTGTGTTATGCTTAAAGGCGGTTTACCGTTTATGCGAAAACAAACAAATCAAAGCATGCAGGGGCCCCCTATGCTCAAAAAGCTTGGTGAGAACACTAGTGCACCGTGCTACGGCCGAGTTTTATAACTTATAATATAACGTCATCTTACTTTTATTCCTCTGTGGTAACATGAGCTGAACTTTGTCCATCGAGTGGTCCAAGTAAGGTCGGATTTCAGGGGACAGTGAGCAGTAACTTTGCTGTAAGTGAAAGGTAAAGATAGACAATACTTCAGTGAAGTAATAAAGAGAACGTTCTGCCTTCTAGGTGCATGTCTGTAACCATGGCAACCGACACATGGAAGCGCGTTGCCCTGGTAACAGGAGGCGGGAGCGGCATCGGTCGTGCCACGGCTGTCCGGTTTGCCGAGCTCGGGTACAGCTGTGTGGTGGCCGATATCAACGAGCCGAGCGCCAAGGAGACACTGGGCATGCTCCAAACTCCGGGGCTCGCCGTCCAGGTGGACGTTACCATGGCAACAAGTGTGGAAGCCATGGTAACCGCCGCGGTTCAGCACTTCGGCCGGATCGACTGCGCCTTCAACTGCGCCGGGATTGAAGCAACTCCAGCCAAAACCGCAGATCAGCAAGAAGACGAGTTTGACCGCGTGATGGCGGTGAACGCCAAGGGCGTGTGGCTGTGTCTGAAGTACGAGATCGCCCAGATGCTGAAGCAGGAGCCCGTCGTGAGCGACCCGGCGAAATGGGCCGACAAGCCGGCGTGTGCCGCTTCCGCGGGGCACGGGGCAGTATCGTCAACGCCAGCAGTATGGCAGGTTTGGGCCCATTGGCGTACACGAGCCCCTACTGTGCGTCCAAGTTTGCGGTCCTCGGGCTGACCAAGACAGCCGCAGTGGAGTACGCCAAGGACGGGATTCGCGTCAATGCCGTCTGCCCAGGCCTCGTTGCCACTCCCTTGGCAGATCGAGTGTGGGAAATGTCGCCACCAGACTTTCGGGCGATGCAGGACCCGAAGATTTTCCCTGTCGGTCGCTTCGCGGTGCCCGAGGAGGTTGCCGAGGCCGTGTGCTGGCTCTGCAGCGACGCCTGTCCGTTCACTACGGGAGAGCACCTGAAAATTGCGGGGGGAATTTGAAGGGTGCTCCAGGCCTCATCAACAGCCCCCCTCCCTGCAGGCAATCACTCATATCTAAACTTCATAATCATTGTTTCACACTGTATACTAATTGAATAAAGTTTATACCTCGATTTACACGATTTTTGTTCCTGTCATGTTTGTTTTTGTAGCTTGTGTGTCTGTAATTATTTGAAGAGTGTCAGGCCCTGGCCCATGCTATTATGTCAGTAAAGTGGGACAAAAGGTTTCGTTCAATAAAGAGGATTCCAAGTCCATACCAGACATGGTGGATTTAAAAAAGTATTAATGTTCTTAGATTTAAAAAAGATTCATTAAAAAGCTTGTTTTTCCCTTTTTACACTTCTAATGGTACCCATTTGTAACAACCAAGGCCCATGCATGCGTTGCCCAAACGATACAGATAACTTATATAATGTGTGTGTGTGTGTGTGTGTGTGTGCGAGCGCGCACGGACGGCCCACTGACTTCCAAAAATGTCTTGCCAAGTTGCCAAGAGTTACAGCTCCAAAGCAACAATAACAAGTACCTCGCCACGGATGGATATCTCCTTATGCGAGGTTATTGTACATCCAGCAGACTATTTACGAACATTCGAACACAGAAATAGATATATTGACAGGATTTGTAATACATACCTATCAAATGAGCTGGACCCCCTCCCATAGAAAACCTAACTTCACCAGCACTCTACCAAAAAAATACACGTCATTCCCACCTACAGCATCTGCGCAGGATCTACATGTAGGAGACCATATAGCAATGGCCTACAGCAATGTTGACTCAATGAGCTTTCATCATGTCATGAAGCTCCTTGGTTGATTACAATACATTTCACCCATACTATAGTATGGGTGATATGTATTGTTTTCTCTCTTGTTTTTCCTTCTCCTCCTCCTGCTATTTTGTTAAATGGCAATTAGTTTCTCCTTGTTGATTGGCTGCTGGGATAATGCAATCACATTTGGGATTTGGATCAAACAGATGCAGGGTGGTTTGGATCGCATGGTGAATGGGGAAATTTGGAATGGGGAAGAATGGGTGAAATGTGCTGTATTTGCTCGTGAGCAAATGTTCAAGGCCTTAAATTCTAGTTGGACCGGAATTTGACCCTTACCTCAGCCAGACTGACAGCCATTGTCACTGGGACGCCACTATTCCAGCCGAGATCTCAAGATCTGGTCTTATTCAACCTCTCCAAAACACAGGTAAACCTTAGAGATATATTCAATTTGGAAGTATTGTGCGCACAACTTTGTGGGGGTCACCCAGTTACAGTATTTAGTGTTTAACATCTTTGCCCCAGACTAACTTTTCTTTCTACATAGTTAGGTGTATCCTGAAGAGCAGCAGTGCAGTTGTACCTGTCTCCAACAGATGAGACCTGACAAGAAACCACAAGTGACAGGAGTATCAGGTGAGAGAAATCCACATTCTTCACTTTTCTGCTGGTTATTCAGTGTTACTGTGTGTAACATCTTTGCTTCAAAGTTAACTAACTTTTCTTCCTACATTAGGTGTATCCCTGAAGAGCAGCAGTGCAGTTGTACCTGTCTCCAATTGATGAGACCTGATAAGATACCACAGGATACAGGAGTATCAGGTGAGAGAAATATACATTCTTAACTTTTTTTTAGTGTTTTACTTAGTGTTATGTATGCCTATTTGCTCCAGTCTAACTACTTTTACATAGTTAGGTGTATCCTGAAGAGTAGCAGTCAGAGGTGTGTCCTGAGAGATATGCAGGGATTCTTTTCATATTGGTGCATAACCACTTATTATGTTTTTAGTTAGGAGACTGTAGACTCCTGAAAACCATTCCAGACCAGTCTTTGAAAGTTTGAGTAAAATCAGGGTTTCAATGTTGAGAATAAGATTGAATGTGGTTTATAATTTTAGCAGCATTCTACATGTAACTGTCATAAATTTGCATGTTGTGTGACATAATTTTTTGTAAGGCCAATAGCTGTTTTCAATCCACTGACTTTTGTTCCTTTGTCTTCAAGATGCGGTTCCTTTGTCTTCAAGATGCGGACCCGGAGACTAGACTAAGACGGAGGAAAAACCAGACCTCTATCGGCCGAGCTGTGTGAAAGAAGATGGGGAGGTGTGAGTATGTTTTCTTTATTAACACATTCAGGTGCACACACTTGCACGCACATTTCTCTCTTTTGCCCAGTTCTGCATGTCATTTTTCCATGAGGAGCCATTAAACGTTTTATCCTAGCCAGCCATCTAAATTCCACAATAAGCATCACTAAAAAATTCTTTTAATATCGTGTAGATAAATGTGCCAAATTGCCCCAAAATTGTCGCTTTGGACCTTACACTTAAATTGCCCGAACATGTACATGTAGTCAATTTAAACTTTCCTGCCCTCCCCCCCAAAAAATTACTAATATCTTAGCCAGCAGCTACATTGTTATCCTGAATTAATGTTAAATGTCACTGAAAAATTCTTCATACTGTATAGTTTAATATGCCAAATGGCCCCAAAATTATTGCTAGGACCTTATTAATGTAATAAAATCTCCAAACACGTTTTCCTGCCAAAGAACTTAGTATCTTAGCCGCCACTTAAAATCCATGTTACTAAAAATTCATATTGTGTTGTTGAATTAGCAAAATTGCCCCCAAATTGCTTGGACATTTACTCTTAAAATCCCCTGCCAAAAACTAAATGTAGCCGGCCGCTTAAAATCCACTAAAAATTCTTCATATTGTGTAGTTGCATGAGCCAAATTGCCCCCAAAATGCCCAAAATAATAGAATCTCCAAATACGTTTTGCTGCCAAAAAACTTAGTATCCTAACCGGCTACTTAAAATCCATGTCCCTAAACCATTCTTAGCTGGCCATTTTAATTCTATATCACTAAAAGTAAAACATTCTTTGTATTGTGTAGTTGAATGAGCCAAATTGCCCCAACATGAAATATTGTCCCTTGGACCTTTACACTTAAAACCTCCAAACACTTTTTCCCCACCCAAAAACTATTAATAATTAGCCGGCTGCTTTAATTGTACGTCACTGAAAATTCTTTCTATCGTGTAGTTGTGAATGTGCCAAATTGCCCCCAAATTGCTTGGACCTTTACATTTATCAATATAATAAAATCTCCTGGCAAAAAACTTAGTATCTTAGCCAGCTCCTTAAAATCCATGTCCCTAAGACATTCTTAGCTGACCGTTTTAATTCTCTAAAAGTAAAAACATTCTTCGTATTGTGTAGTTGAATGAGCCAAATTTCCCCAAAATTGCCCGTTGGACCTTTACACTTAAAATCTCCAAACACTTTTCCCTGGCCAAAAAACCGGCCGCTTTAATTGTACGTCACTGAAAATTCTTTGTATTGTGTAGTTGAATGTGCCAAATTGCCCCAAAATTGTCGCTTGGACCTTTACACTTAATAAAATCTCTGAACACATTTTCCTGCCAAAATCTTAGTATCATAGCCAGCCCCCTTAAAATCCACGTCACTGAAAAATTCGTTTTGTGTAGTTGAATGAGCCAAATTGCCCCAACTCTTGGACTTTTACACTTAAAATCTCCCAACATGTTTTCCCGCCTGAAAAACTACCTTAGCCGGCCACTTTAATTGTATGTCACTGAAAATCTTTGTTACGTGTAGTTGAATGTGCCAAATTGCCCCAAAATTGTTGCTTGGACCTTTACATTTAAAATCTCCTGCCAAAAAACTTAGTATTGTACCCGGCCGCTTAAAATTCACATCACTAAACAATTCTTAAAATTGTGTAGTTGCATGAGCCAGATTGCCCCCAAATTGTCGCTTGGACCTCTACACTTAATAAAATCTCCGAACACATTTAAAATTTTCCTGCCAAAAACTTAGTACTTAGCCAGCCCCTTAAAATCCACGTCACTGAAAAATTTGTTTTGTGTAGTTAAATGTGCCCAAAATTTGTTGCTTGGACTGTCACACTGTTCCCGCCAAAACTGATTAGGACCCTCACCTGTCTAATTAATTGGATTAAAATTTTCCCGCCAAAAAACTTAGTATATACACCACTCCAACCTTGAACTTGTGCCCCCCTCCCCACTCTTCCTGCCCACCTCCCACACTTCTTCCTTCACTCAGAGTATGTTAGTTACACTGTTCTCTCGACTTCTTCACACATGTAGTCACCACACTCTGCTACACAAACACTCGAGTGCAGTTTTTCCACCACTTTGACTTAGGAATAAATCTCTTGCTCTCCTGGTCGGTCAATTGCACTGGTATACTGATGTGTCGAAGCATCAATGTCTCCGGAAAGACATCCCTCGGGGAGTACACTTAGTGCATTGACCGACCAGGAGAGCGAGAGATTTATTCCTAAGTCAAAGTGGTGGAAAAACTGCACTCGAGTGTTTGTGTAGCAGAGTGTGGTGACTACATGTGTGAAGAAGTCGAGAGAACAGTGTAACTAACATACTCTGAGTGAAGGAAGAAGTGTGGGAGGTGGGCAGGAAGAGTGGGGAGGGGGGCACACAAGTTCAAGGTTAGAGTGGTGTATATACTAAGTTTTTTGGCGGGAAAATTTTAATCTAATTAATTAGACAGGTGAGGGTGCCATTACTTTGAGGGGGGGGGCGAAAATTTGCATGAAAAAATCAGCACAAACCTACACCAACACTGTTCAGGAGTGATTACTTGTTTGGAGAATTAAAGTTTAAACAGCCAAAGCAGTAATTTGTGGGCAAAATCTGGCATCCAAAAACACAAGGTGAATTTTGTGAGGGTAATTTTTTGGCTGGAAAATTTCACTCCGTCAAGTGTTTGGGTAGGTCGGTCTGATTACATGTAGGAAGGTGAGTGTGACATACTGTGCGAGTCAGAACTTAAAGGGACACAAGAGGTTCAATAAAATCTGTCATTATGTCATGCATGGTACATGTATGTCTGAAAAGTGATTTCTACACTGTCTTAGTTCGCTAGTCCATCGTAGTTCAGAGCGCTGCCGGCCGTTCGAAGTCGAGGATAGCGTTCACAAAGTGGTCGCCGCCATACCTTCGCATTGACATAATCGCAAAGTTCTTAAGTACCAGGTCAACGTTCAAGCATAGTTCTCACTAGGCTGTTTGAGCGTAGGAGCCCCCTACA